AACCTTAATGATTCTGTGATTCTATGATTCTAATTAGCAAACAGGCTCTCGGTCCTAGCAGTGGTCCCAGCTGTGTTCAGCGTTGGGGCTTTGGCGGACCCTGGCTGTGGAGGGCTGGTCTATGCGAGGCTGACCGCCGTCTTGCTGCTCTGTGCCCTTTCGCTAGACCCTGGAGTCTGAAGGCCGTCACTACGACTGCGACTTCCTTCCCTTCATGGAGATCGGCAGCGTGGCCCACAAGTACTACCTCATCAACATCCGTCTCCCCGTGAACGAGAGGAAGGGCATTAACGTGGGCATTGGGGAAATCAAGGATATTCGCCTTGTGGTAAGTGTCTGTCGTGCTTCTGTCGGCAGTGTCTGCCCGGGGGCTGCTGCAGCTTCTTTCTCGATCTCCTCTTTGATCTGCAGTAGTAGGTCACGGGTAGCTCCCGCCTGCAAATGTGCCTTTCCCCCTTCCCGCGGATGCCATCTTTGACTGCTATGGTCTGAGGAGCCCTCCCCAAGCCTGGGGCAGGGCCACCCTCCTGCGCTGCCCTGTGACCCCCTCTGGAGCTGGGCTCTTCCCACCGCTCCGAGAGCTCCCCTCTGTCCTCTCCTCCCCACCGCAGCCTGGCTCGGGTGCAGAGCCCTCCCCCCGCCCAAGCCCTGCCTCTCGCAGGTGGGAGCCGAGGAGGAACAGAACAGCAGGGTCCAGAGGGGACCTGGACCATCTCGGAGCTGGCTGTGGCCACGTGGGTGTTGGGGATGGCTGTTGGCTGTCCTTGCTCCTGCCCCTCCTTGAGCCTCGGTGACCACGGGGTGCTTTTCCCAGCTGGAAAACCTCCCACCACAGTCCCTCTCCGCAGAAGCAGCGAGCCGGCCGGCTGTGGTGGCTGCAGACGGTGGTGGGAGGGCATGTGTCTGGAGAAATGCATTCATTTGGCTGATGCTTTTCCCACCAGTGGTGACTTAGCTTCATGAGTGTCTTGTTATTTGTCCGAGAGCAACTCTGCCAGCTTTTCCCACGCTGTGTCCGAGTGCCCCTCTCTCGACGGCTCTCCACCTCCCAGCAGGAGCTCTGTGTGTTGGTGTTTGTTTTGCGGACCTCTGAAGCCTGCTCAGATAGCCTGAGCGCTAAGTAGGCACCGGCTCCCTTTCCTGTGTTGGACAAACCGCGTCTTTCGAAGAGTAGTTGCATCTGCATGTGCTTACACATGCTGCCGTGTACGTGCCTCTCCTGTCAGCTCCTGTAAGGAGAAGCACGGAGTAGTGATGCTAAACCCCATACAGCTGTTGCATTCCACCTTGGTTTTCCTTAGGGCATCCATCAAAACGGAGGCTTTACAAAAGTGTGGTTTGCCATGAAGACCTTCCTCACCCCCAGCATTTTAATTATCATGGTCTGGTACTGGAGACGGATCACGCTGATGACGCGCGCCCCTGTCCTGCTGGAGAAGTGAGTAGGGGCTCGCGGGCTGGCTGAGGTGACCCTCAAGCAAGAGGACCCTGACTGAGGTGGTCGCCTCTCCCAGGCAGAGCCCATGTTTGGGGAGACAGGGATGGTCTCTTCAATGTCCCCTCCCTCCACCCAGGCACACTGGGAGCGGGAGACCTCGGTAGCTTCTCTTTTCTCTCCCATGAAACCCACAGAGAATGAGGAGCTGCATTTGCCCATGGCTGCTCAGAGGGGTTTAGCCCCAGAGGGTTTGCTGGCAGGAGGTGACACCCCGCGGCCACTGCCCAGACAGGGCCACATTTTCTTCTGTTGCTTTGTGCACAGCTTTGGCTTCTGGGGCTGTGTGTCCTTGCCTTGCAAACTGGAAAGAGATGGTGTTTCTGCCTCTCCAGGGTCATCTTTGCTCTGGGAATTTCCATGACATTCATTAACATCCCGGTGGAGTGGTTTTCCATTGGATTCGACTGGACTTGGATGTTGCTCTTCGGAGACATTCGACAAGGCATTTTCTATGCCATGCTCCTGTCGTTTTGGATCATCTTCTGCGGAGAGCACATGATGGTGGGTACGACACAGAAGGGAAGGTGGCTTCCAGCCCCGCTTGCAGCGATAACCTGGCAACTCCCTTGTACTTGTTGAGTGTTGGAAATAATGCTGTGGGGACTCACGCCAGGTGAGAGGACTTCAGGCTAAATGTCTTTTCCTTTTTCTCCTCCTCCTCCCCACCTCTTGACCTGCTGATTAGGACCAGAACGAGCGGAATCGTCTCTCGGGGTACTGGAAGCAGGTTGGACCCATAGCCGTTGGCTCCTTCTGCCTCTTCATCTTCGACATGTGTGAGAGGTAGGTGCAGCGCTGCTCTCCAGCCCAGGCGTGCTGCTCCCGGGCTGAGCCTTCCCCGAGCAGCGAGCAGAGGCTCCCGGCCCCCTCCGTCAGCCGGGACCAGCCGTTTAAACCAGCCGTTTAACCCCCGGGGCTGGATGCACAGCCCCATCTCCTGAAGCGAGGAGAGCCTCCTGTGAGTGCACTGCAGCATGCTGGCATGTCACGGCAGCGGGTCTTGTCCCATAGGGACGTAAAGAAACGCTTTCCACCTTGTTTCCTCCTCGCCCACATGGGAAAGCAGTGTGGCTGGCTCCTTCCAGGCTGCAGAGCAGACATGGGGCTCTCGGAGCCTGTTGGCAGCTTCGTGTTTTCTCTCCTCTTTGCAGGGGAGTGCAGCTGAAGAACCCCTTCTATAGCATCTGGACCACTGAAGTCGGCACGGAGCTTGCTGTATCCTTCCCCCGAACTTGGGGC